CATTCCACCGGTGTGGGGAACTCTTCCTACTGTACGGAACATCTCAGACGACCAAGTTCCCAAATGGTACTCTACCATTTACTCTACCCGTTGCATTCCTTCCGTTCCCTCACCTTCGAAAGAAAAAGGGTGGGTGGGCGGGAAAGAACGCAACTTCTTGGCCTCCCAATCTGGCCAATCCTTGCTATCCCTCTCTGAGTTCACGTACTGCTGTTGTATAAATCTGCTATTCCACGCTGTCCAGCGAGCCTTCTCCTGCACGTGAACTCTCCGATAAAGTGACCATCCCAAAAGGACTCTTCTCAACCTGATACCCCGAAATACAGGAACAATAACGCCTCTGGCAAATTCGACCGTTTCAATAAACAGTAGTCTACATCGGCTATATCTGCCTCACCAAACTTGCTATTTTTTTCTGTTTCTTCGTGGGGTCGTGTATGCCGGGTTTTGAGACCACGGGCTCCCAATCTTTCTTTTTAGAGCTATTGTGAGAAACAACAACAACAACAACAACAACAACAACAACAATACAACACAACACAACACAACCTGACGCGGTCGAGCGAAGGCAAAACCTACACCAAGCACAAACAATCCGAGTGAACGACTGCAGCAAGTGCATTAGCGATGCGCGCGATGAACAGTAAATGACTTCCGTAGAGCAAGCTGCCGAGAGACGAAAAGGTATTTGTTTACCTTTGCGGCGTCGTCCCTACATGCATACATACATGCCAGAGAGGGTTTATCACCGGCATTATCCTTCTTGTCGTTGACCCAGCAGAGAACAGCAGGAAATGGTCTGTAAAACTCAAACTGTAGCACCGAATTTATTCGGATACAATCTAGACGGACACACGGAGGCCACCCCGACACACGCACTGATTGATCTCCAAGAGAGGGTTCCTTCGGACGTTCCCGGCGCTGCCGCCTTCTTTTTGTATTGGTAACTCCGATGGTTTTTCTTGCTGAATGCATATTTGAACAGGCATAGTCTAATATTTTTCTGTGGATACCAGGTACAAGTATAGATATCTTCCTGGGGTTGGGACGCATAATAAGCGACCAGTAGTGATACATCTGGAGACAGACTACGACGAACAGTTTTCGTGCCTGCGACGAAAATATGTAGCAAGAAAAGATTCACCGAATACAGCGGCTATTCAGATGAATATCGGAGATGCGGCGATGCCCGCGGGGCCCTCTCCCTCTCTCTCGCTTCCACTTCTTCTCTTGAGACACTACATGTAGTTAGCCCGAGTATCCTGAGCCGTGCTTGGCTATTTCCTCGCCACAGATCAAGAGAGAGAAAATACCTCCTCTTGAGAAGTGTTAAATCACCACATAAACTTCAGAGACTGACTCTGTGAAGAAAACGACCAAGGGCAACCGATTCTTTTACTCCACAGATACGAATCAGGGATGGATTCTTTGTTGATTCCGCCGCCAACTGTCATCATTGTGCTGCGTATTGC